ACAACATTTCACATGGAATGAAAAAAACAGCCTACCCAACAATTAGAACGGACAAAGCCTCAAGCCTGAGATAGCTACTTAACCGCCCATGAAGTATCTGAGAAGATTATCCTCTCATACGCCCCTTTTCTGGGCTTATGAGAAGATAACATTCGCCTTGTGATAATTAATTTTTTTCCACTGCTGTTAGTGTGGCAAAGGAAGCGACAACAGAAACCTGATTTCTACGGACAGAACAGGTTCGAGTTCATATCCCGGCCTGAGGCAATGCGTCTTGCTCTTGAAGGCTCTTGGCGCGATATATCTCTAAAGACGAGTAGGACCAATGCGCCTTGCAGGTCGGAATTCCGCGCCCTTGTGCAGGCGCTCCATAGCACCTATTCCGAAGAAGTACTCTTATGAGGCCCTATCAAGCTAAACATACCGACCCGCACGCCCGCGAAGTAAAATATGAAGCGAAGGGATTGGTATGAAGCGGGCGCGGTGCTGCATGGATATATGAGTACATACGTGCAGCCGTATCTACCGTAGCGGTTATTGGCAAGATGCCTACGGAAAACTCGTCCGAAATTATTTGCTGAGTCATGAAGAACGAAGGCTTATCTTCATCGTCATTTTGACTTCGTCTTCCTTTTTCTCTTCGTTTTTTCGCCATTTTCCCTCTACCACCCTGCTAGCATTTTAGACCGAGGACCAAATTACCGTACCATATGCCATTGAGCGTACACCTATGTACGCTCAATGGCACATGGTACGGTAATTTGTCAATCAATAAGTATCAGTGGGAACAAGCATTTACCCTTCATTATAATCATCCACTCGAGATTTACCTAGAATTACATAGAGGGAGGACTCTTACACTGTTCAGTTTCTGCCTAAGAGCATTCACGAAATGGATGTGGGCTAAGCCACAGCCTCGTTGCCGATAATGGGCTTGTCAGAAGAGGGAGGGAGCGGTGGGTTTGGCACTGCACTAGCCTGTTTTTCACCTGCCGTCGTCGCTCCAACTGCCGTCGCTTACACGCTGCAACAAGTGGTAAAGAACGGGCTCATGACGCGCCAAATCCAGCCTCACTTACACGTCCCACGATTCGCAAGCGAACAAGACTATATCATAACGTCGCTCTGCAGCTTGGCTTCACAACTACTAGTACTCTTGCGACCTAGTACTGACAGAAAGAAGTTCAGCATTTTCAGACATCAAAAATACCAGCTGAAAAAAATTCCCCGCCTAACCTTTGCATGTTTTCATGTTTTCGTATATAAATTTTGCTGCAAACATTTGCTCTTTTCATGCCCTTGCCCATGTTCGTCTTTTCACCTAATCAGATCCACATTGGGGTTTACGTGCGCCTCATCAGCCAGAACGCCATTTCAGCCACATAGATATTTCTCGGAAACTTTTCTATTCAAGGCAGAAAACCTCATAGCGCTATGTGTTTCGGCAGCACGCTGAGTAATATCTTCTCCTGTTTGTCCAATTCCCTGACAAGCATCATCCTAGTCTCCACGCATTTTCTGCAATGTCCAAGATCTAAGTCTGTGATTTGGCGTCGATTCTAGAGTCTACCGCTACCTCGTCTCTTGCGAAAAGTCTCGTTGTACGAGCTTGTACCAGCTGGCGATAGAACACGAAAAACGACAGCAGTAATTGATAGCAAAGAAAAGAATCGCATGAGTTATGAGCTGAAGAAGAAAGGATCATTCGGGACTTCACCTTGACCCCGCCTGCCCCCTTCCAAGACCCATGGAACACCAAGTTGAGCTCTCACCATCGTTCCATCGGCATTGTTTATTAGCTGAATAGAGAGACCCGTTGCAGAGACGACAGCGGCTGCCAATGCCTAAAGAAAAATTGTAAACACGTGCTGTTCATTTCGCTACACACAAAGAATACCATAAGTAAAATCAATAAATCAATAAAACCTACTGTAGGAATCAGAGGCAGAGGTAGCAGTGTATAGCAGAGAAATAGTATCAACACCGTAACGATGAGTGTACAATGTACGGAGCGCATGCGAGTAGCACCTAAATAGCTCTTTCTATTCATTATTCACTCAGAATGTAATACCCTCTGGGTGGGGGGGGGGGGGTTTAAAAACCACCATGCCTGTGGTTGCGAGCGGATGGGTGGAGAAATGGGCGGAGACCCGCAACTACTGCGTCATGTTCATTTGAACGGCCCTCCTTTCAACAGCGTAAGTAGTAGGGGCGCACCAATAAGGAAAGCACAATTTTTGCGAGTCCCGCCCCTATTCCCACCCATCCGATCATCGCGGAATGTGCCTGGAAGTTCGCAGCACAACTACAACAGTCAGTATCTCTCCCACGGATACTGTCAGAATAAAGAAAAGCTTGCTCAAGTAGAGTTACAGTAAGACAGTTCACTAACCACAGAACATAAGATGACCACAGATGAGAGTATAATGGAGTTTCCTTTGTGAAATACCAACCAACCAAGAATGAAAACCTGAAACGTATACGGTAAGCGGTCACTTCATAGTGACGAACAAGTACGGAACTCATTCTAAAGTACTTACGTCGACTACTGCCAGAAACATGAGGAGAATCCATTCTTGGAGCAGCACTGTCAGTATCGTCTGTGCCACACAAAGGGCAAGTAGGAATAACAAGGCGAACTGAAATAGGAAATTTTCTGACTGAAATTCCAACTCTTGCCTACCAAAAGCTCAAAGAGATACTTGAAACATTTTATACATTCTTGTTCGCTGCGGGCTGGGCGTGTCAGGGGTAGGGGCGGGGTGCTAACCCGGTCTCAATTATTTGTTGAAGTGAACAAGAGACAACTGGTGGAAAAGAGGCCGGCGCCTTGCCAAACCGCGCCCCCTGACCCGCCTAAGCATCCGCAGCAGAAGAGACAATAAGATCAGAGCCAGGGAGCACTTTTGGCTATTAAGGACGTCAAAAATCGTCCGATGAAGGGAGTGGGCAAATGTGGTTGGGGCGAGCCACGCAGCAACACGCAACATGCCTGTCTTCTCTTGCTGCCTCTTTTCAAAGCCTTCCAAAGGAATAGTACTACGCTACTTCCGTATCGGTCAGAGGACGCAGACAATCGAACATGAGGCGTGGCTTTCAAAGCGATCGCGTTGCCACCTGCCCCCCCCCTCCCTACTCAACTACCCTTGATAAGAGTCCCAGTGACTGATGGACTCACCTGCATTCGACCGGCGTTGATATGCTCAAAATAGATCGGATAGAGGGAGTCCTGTCGACAGGCTTCGAGCAGTAGCGATTCATCATCAGCCATATCATCCAAGGCGTCCAGGACTTCTTGGCTGAAATAAATCAGAGAAATCTCTAATAAATCAGAGAAATCGTAGAAGTTAAAAATTGCCTATCCTTTTGTGGCGATAAATTTTCAAAAGCACATTCCGCGATAGATGATGGGCGGAGAAATAAGTAGAGACCACAACCATTAATCTTTCATTAGTGGTGCGTCAGCTCCCCCCTCCCCCCCCACAGGAGGAAATTCATAAGGGAGGCACGTTGTGCTATCACCGCGCCCACCAGGAAATCACGGAATGTGCCATCAAAAACTCTGATGACTGTATTGTTGATGATTCTCCCCTGTTCAAGAGCAGAATTAATGGGAAAATCATCCGAAAAAGTAGCAGAGCGTGGTAGGAATTCGGGAAAATTCAGAAAAAAAATGGGTAGAATCGAAGACGGGGAAGCTGGGTCGCACCAAATTACGAAAAGTTAGGATGGGAGTCGTATTATTTGGAAATTTTCACAACGGAAGAACAAGCCCTAGCTGACCACGTGCCAGCCAAGGTCGTGTGTGTTATGGTAGAGAGCGTATTCACTCATCAAAAAAATTCGTTTCGGTCGGGCAAACCCTTCATCGGTTAAAGTTGGCGAGATTCCATCCCATGGGCCGTACAAACGCTATAATGCGCCCTAGCCACGGCGTCACCTCTGTCTCGAGCAGCACCTCATACTCCATTGCTGGAGAGGCATCAGTGGGCAAACTTCCAAGAACGCGCCGTAACAACAACGTGGGAATTTCCGGAGAACACCTGAGTAGCGTTTTTGACCTCTAGCCTGTTTTCCCTTGAAGACATTTTCTGCCCTTTGAACTAATTGATTGGGATGCGACGGCCGAATGAAGGATAACTCTGCAGAGCCAAAGCTCAGCGTATATGTCACATCATACTTCTAAACAGGATCGTAGAGATCTTTGCATACAAAGCATGGGCACAGTTCGGCTTAGGAGGGGCATTTCGCATTTTCGCGAGTTCCTTTTGATAGTGACAATTTCGTGTTAAATCACCCTCACTGTTTGGTGAGACTTGGAACCTCGTACGTCAAAGCTGTAAGTATAAGCTCATACTATTGCATAAGCTTCACAGGACTTCGACAGTACCGGAGGAATCGCGCAAATGCCCCTCAACCGAAGCTGCGCTCCACTGTGAAGTGCATGCTGAACGCAGTACTTGCAAGTGCAATACTTCGATTTTTCTTGGATATCGCAGATAATCCTTGGCCACAGAAACCATTTGCAGTCAAAATCACAGGTCAGAAGAATATAAATGGCCCGCGGAAAACTGCTTTATAGGTTTCCAAACTATCAATTTTGGTGGTTATTGGAATCGTTGGGCGCCGCGTTTAGGAATCTACCCTTCGTTTCTCAAAAACCATCTCAGAAAATGAGCTGATGAGTTAAGGGAGAAGCTGTGAAGGACTGCTCGAGCAAAACTAGAAGTACCTAAAGGAGATGGGAATTTTTCCTGGTGGATCGGAACGAGTGAAGGAGCTCCGGGCTGACACCGTAATCCGCATGTTCTGCCCAAGCAATTCCTATTGAATGGTTCTCCCTATTAAATGATTTAATTCAGAATAAAAATTCCTAGCTAATCATCGGTTTTAATACTTCTTGCAATTCTTGATAGAATGTTGGAAAAAGGCCGCGCTCTGATTCTCAGATTACGTATCCCTAATTAATAACTAAACATTAGCTTGACCGAAAATTTAAAATTTATTATGCAATTTGATTTCATTCCGCACCGCTTACGTTAGGTCTCAAGGAATAATAGTATTGCGCGAGGTGATCGGTTTACAACCTGAGATCTCTTATGCTCACGGTCCATGAGCAAAAAATAAAGGAAAAATATTCGACGCTGTTGTGGTCCTACTTGGAATGCGTCATGAGTTTTGCTTCCATTCAGAATAGTAGTGGGATTGTGAAATGTTCTACATAACGACTTACAGGGTCAGCCTGATGTACAGATCATGCTGAGTTATGGGCAAAAGTCTGATCCCGGGCAGGACTCGAACCCGCACCTCACATTGCGTGTCAGTACTTGTAAGGCGATGGCGTAAAAAGCCAGCTCATAGAGATAAGGAACGGCCCTTGGCGTAACGTATAGCGCACTTGCCCGGAAAAGCGTGAGGTGATTCGATCCGTCTGGGGCTTACACTTTACTCATATCTCAGCTTCATGCGATAGCCAGTTTCATCATATCAAACAACTTCAGAATAGTTAAGGGTTTTTAAGAGCTGTTATAACTGCTCCATTCTTGCCAGGGTACGCATCGCTTGAAATCCTTGGCCTGAGAAGTATATTTTCTGCTGGGAGGGGGGGGAAGCTTTTTTGTTGCCGCATTTATTTTCCTATATAGCCCTCCCCTCCCCTCCACCGCTCGACGAAGGTCTTTTGGGGAAAAAAAGTGGAAAAGAAAGAAACAGTGGTTAGAGATTGGGATAATCTAGGAAGACAGTAGGCGCTGGGTACTGGAGTAGAAGGCCGTACTGACTTCTTGAGGAGAATTCTGCGCGTGGGGGGGTCATATTTTGCAAAAATTTTCCCCACCCTGGATCCGATCGAACCAGTAAGGCTCCCCGATTCAGGAATTCAAATCCAACCTCGCGAAGCATAAAAAACTCTCAAAAACATCCATCTTCTACGCTATATGAGGCCAAGAAGGCCAAGATCAGCGCATTCAAGAAAAACAAAAGTCAAACACCCCTATGATTATGAATGGAAATCGAAAAAAACAAAACCACGAAAACAAACCTGAATTTGTCGCGATTCCAGTCGCCACGAAGCGGCTCGAGTGCGTCCGCTCGTCCCATTTCGAGACTCTGAAAAACCTCAATAGAGTTAAATGATCCACGTGAACTCACGAAGTGATTTAGCCACCTTATGCCCACGAGAAAGCATCAAGAATGATTTCGGGGGCCATAACTTTTCCCACTTGGTGAAAGATATGACCCAACATCTGTTTCAGTGTAGCAAATGAGCACTCCACCCGATCATTCAGAAATAGACCGATTGGACCAGCTCCGCTCATTACTAGGAGATTAATTTCCGCGTGAACATGAATTTTTTTGGTTTTTCTTCAGGAAATCAATTTTGTTGAAGTAGCAGTACTTATGCGCCCAAGCTGGGTAAAAGTAAAGAAGTAGAAGTGAAACTAGGTGAAAGTGTTACAGTTTGAAAACTGCATGTTCGAAAGAGCTACTTAGCTAAAGAGGAAAGGTTATTGGACGGCCTTTATTGAAATTCTCTTTATTGCAAGTGTTAGATCCTTATACAAGGCCTTAAGAGCAGCCTGGCTACCCAATGCACGCTGTCGTCAGGATCCCCGACTTCTGCCGACCTGCCGGAACAGCGGCCCTGCCCCTCCTATGATACCATCAATTTTGTCGAACGGGGGGGGAAACTGCCGAGAAACTCGGGTAAAATTCCGAGAACACCGTAAGTTCTCTCTTGAGAAGGGCACATATGACCCCCACCCCTTCCAATCCCAGCAACGAGCAAATACGACCCTCGCCCCTTACGGCGTGTCCTTAAAACTAGAAAAAACAACAAATCAATAAAAAATTTTCACACCAAATACCCTTCCCCTCCCCCAGCGACGAAAAACGACCCCCTGTAAAGAGACCTTCAGCGATGTTGTGCCCTGTCTGCAGATTCTTGTCACTCTACACGCCAGCATAATATAGCTGAAGGGGTACTAAATACGTGCAAGGCAGTGCGTCTATAGGATTTCCGTTTCTTTGAACCCCTGTTTCCGGCTCCGTTTTGAATTTTTTACTTTAGCCAACCTCCTAGTGGTTCGTGGATCTTACCTCACAGCCTTCCACGTTGGTATGGAATGAGCAAAATAAATAAACAAATAAGTAACATGGTCCGTGACGTTAATCAAATAAATTAGTTAATCAAATAAATAAATAAACATCAAGATCAACATTCCAAGACACATGTTTACCAATTTACTTATTCTATAATTTATTAGTCGAATTCGTCACTAGTAATTGCCAGGTGTCAGGTTATCCTCTTAAAAGGCAACCTACGAAAAAAAAATTCCGACGAAGACTCAGAGTAACATCCTACCTTAGAGACCCCGCCCACCTAGACGCTTCCCGCTGGAGTAGAGACGGGAAATAGTTTTGTAGCGACTTGAGAGAAAGCATGAAACACTTCAGCAGTTCAGCTTTGCCAAGGATTCTTCCTGGCAAATTTTAATCAGGCTCCATTGGATGATCGAAAACCTTCTCTACCATCCAGGATCTCTTGACCCGGCAACGACAATATATCCCTGCCTTTCTAGCTTTGTTCCGTTTCCTTCAGTGACAGCGTCAGCTGTCTTTCGATTTTCAAGCTTTTAAAGGACAGCGCATACATAATTGATGGTACAGCTGTGGCTGTCTTGATAGGCATGAATTCCAAATCAATTCAATTTTGAAATTTCTGAAAAATTGGAAATATTCCTGTACATGACCATCTGTACCCTCGGGAAAAACCTCCGCGCCGTGCCATGACCGTCGAGCGCTCTTCACCGGAGGATCTTCACTTCGCTTCATTGAGAAAGGATTGCACAAAAATCTCTCGCAGTCCGTCGTGAGTCATCCACCTCAGAGACAAGTCTAGGACCAAGTAGTCGGCGCTGGAGGGATAAAATACTGACTTACCCGCACAGATCGGCACGGCCAAACGAATAGCGACTTTTCCAAGCCAATGCGCTGCCCTGAGGAGCGTTTTTGGGAGCACTTTTTTATGCGGCGCTAATTAGGAGATCTGCGTTGCAGCGACACGCAAAAAACTAGCTCGGAGCCTTTCTTAGCTAGCTGAATCGGGCTCATTGAAGCACTTCCGCTCCAAACCAATTAGGTCTTGGTGACCACCCGACGCCAAATGCGAAGCGCTACATGACTTGGGTCTCTTGACCCGTTTCGAGGGTAAAGTTAGTCTAGTGGTTTGCAATGGTCGTATTTGGTCTTGCCTGGCCATGTTTTCTTTCAAGCCTTAGAGAGCAAATTGTGCGATACTTTCTATATGGCATGAGAGGGCGCAGACAACGCCAACAGACTTGGACGCGGATAGGTCGTCTGCGCGCAGCTTTCCTCAACACCTTGTTCCCTTTTCTATACCGTGTGCCCATTCCTACTTTGTGTAGCTCAGAAATGAACGAAAAAACTTTCGTAAAAGCCACGATAACATAAAGCGAATGCTCTGCCCGGAACGTCAGCACTCTCTCACAAAGATAAGCATCCCTTTCTCTGCCTAGGGCTGGAGCCTAAAACAGCAGGGAACGATCGCTGTCGCGAGCAGTCGAAAGAGGTGCTGCCTATCCCGACGTGAACCCCTGACGGACCTAGCACACAGACTGGCACGGAACCCTCGGAGTCCGCGCTACACGCCAGAGTCCCAACAGAGATGTAGTGCCGTCGCCTGTAACGCGAGCGCAAGGCGGTTTCGGGCCAACTGGCGCTTTCATGGCTGTCTTCAGTAGGGTCAAACTATCCCTGGAAGAGGAATTTTTCATCCAAATCTGTCATCAGAGCAAATAAGTGAGAGAAAATAGCCCCAATACGGCAAGATCCGGCAGTGAAGGGGTAAATGGTGCCCAAGATCTTTCTGCGAAGAATATCAAAAATCTAAAAAAAAATCAGAAATCTCAGACCTTTCTTTTACATGTTTTATAGATCTGGTTGAGTCAAGTTATGTAAAACGAAATCGTCAATAGCCCTGTAAAAGAATAGCTTGTTGATGTTCGCGGAGCTTCTATGTACTGAAATTCCCCTCTCTAATTACTGGTAATTAAATGTAAGGCCGATTTGCTTTTCTTTAGAGCCGTGTCCAGTCAGTAACGTCATGAGGAAACAAGATCTCCAATTTCAGTGGAGAAACTGAGAAGGGCAACGTTGAATGCCAACAACTAACGGGAAATTGTCAGTCACGCAAACAGCGGCGATTCCCATACTTAATAAAACATCACGCTCTCAAGTGAGCGCTATATTTTGGCCAAATAATCTTCTCTAGTAACCAAGGGAATTAGACGGCATGTCGTCAGCTCTCATAACATTCGGAACGCTCATAAATCCTCCAGCTCATTACTTTGCACACTTGAGAACGTGCTAAACGTGTTGTTGGCTTCGTGGGGATTATTTTAGAATCGTGCTGTTTGAGAGCCTCATTCCGAAAAGAGAACACAGAACCACCAAAAATCGATCAAAAAGCGTCCGACAGGTCCGAAAAATCTGTCAAAACTCAAAGGCATAAGGCACGATTATTTGGTATTTGCTCAAAAATAGTAGCAGGGGTGCTATACAGGGGAAAAATAACGAAAAGCGAAGGTAAACGGCCAAAAATCTGCCAAAAACGTTTATTCTGCTTGGCACTGGACGAGCATTTTGGACGAGTTTCCCGTTGGCATCGTGCCAACAACCGCTTCAGACAGATATGATTACACGTATGTATTCATATATCCATGTAGTAACGGTTGTATCAGTTGTACTTCATAAA